TTGTTCACATTAATTGCACATGGTAAAATTAACTGCAGCGATAGGTAAATAATAATATGATACGTGTAGTACTGTATGGATGTACTTGGGGGAGCCGTTCACCCAGAACTGTCGCATATTATTATGCATAATCGGCTATTTTAAGTGTAGGGAAGTCATGTGCGCTGCTCCGTAACTTCCTTTGTGCTTATGACGGACTGTTACAAATTTATTACGATAATGATTCGAATATATTGTATTTTAATTAATTATAGCGATTTAAATRTTTATTGATTGAAGAGTTAATCATTATTTCAACAAGTAGTATATTATTATCTTTTTTTTCATAAATTTCGCGAAAGACCTGTATTTATGATAAAGCGGTGGAAGGAACTATCTGTTTTATTACTAACAAATGTAAAATGTTACATTTAAAAACATAATATCGGTAGGTTTGTAATATATTGTTTTTTATATGCTGGTATAAAATAATTTTATTCAAATCGTTAGTGCAAGATGTCATATCATATTTGAAAATATATATTATTATTTTTGTATGATGGAATTCGAGTAAAAACTTTGTCATCACGACACGAGTGGAATACATTGTTGTTATATATAATTATTTCGTTTAAAACAAAAACAATAAACATAATATTGTATTATTTTATGATATGATTGACTTTGATTTTTCGCCACATACAAAATAGTATACTTTTATAATTTTTACTCGAATTATATACAACAAAAATTAAGTATATTCGAGTAATTTTGAATATTATAACAATATAATTATAGCAATAGTAATTTTATATGTAACAATCCAACAATAAACACGACATATTATGTCAAATAGTATTYAGTTTAAAGTGATCGTTACGATAGGTTCCTGTTAGCATTCGATCGTGGATTTAACTGAATAAATTTTACTCCTGTTAAATTCATTAATATTAGTTATGACTTATGAAATATAAACTATATTTTGCCGTACGTTCACCTTTATTTTGTACATCAAATACATTAATTCCAATAATTAATATACATAGTTATAATTTTCTTTCAAAATGGTATTGTAATCTTTTTTGGTCGTGGCTGGAATTATAAAAACTAACTTCAGTCATTATAGGAAGTAAATCTATATACTCGTATACAGAGTTTTCTCTCGATGAACGGAAACACTGAAAACAACAAAACCTTAGCATAGCAGAGTCATTTTACTATAATTATTATAACTATGATTTTCTCTTTTTTTTGTTACCTWATTGAGTTACTAAATAATACACTTATGTTTATAGTTGTTTTTATAAAATTAGGTATTTAAGGTTCACATATGAAAATTAATATCAATCTTTATTTTTATATTTTTAATGGCAACCCCTTATTTTCGTCAGTGGTTGTTTTTTTTTTTTT